ATCATCCAAAATGAAAATAAATAAGGAAACAGAAGCTTAAAGTGACACAATAGACCACAAAGGTTTAATTGATATTTACAGAACATTCCATCTAAAAACAGCAGATTACACTTTCTTCTCAAGTGCGCACGGAACATCCTCCAGGATAGATCACATCTTGGCTCACAAAACAAGCCACAGTAAATTTAAGAAAACTGAAATCATATCAAGCATCTTTTCTGACCACAATGCTATGAGATTAGAAATGAATTACAGGGGGAAAAAAACGTAAAAAACACAAACACATGCAGGCTAAACAATACGTTACTAAATGACCAAGAGTTCACTAAAGAAATCAAAGAGGAAATCAAAAATTACCTAGGGACAATGACAATGTAAACACGATGACCCAAAACGTATGGGATGCAGCAAAAGCTTTTCTAAGAGGGAAGTTTACAGCTATACAACCCTATCTCAAGAAACAAGAAAAATCTCAAATAAACAATCTAACCTTACACCTAAAGGAACTAGAGAAAGAAGAACAAACAAAACCCAAAGTTAGCAGAAGGAAAGAAATCATAAAGATCAGAGCAGAAATAAATGAAATACAAACAAAGAAAACAATAGCAAATATGAATAAAACTAAAACCTGGTTCTTTGAGAAGATTAACAAAATTGATAAACCATTAGCCAGACTCATCAAGAAAAAGAGGGAGAGGACTCAAATCAATAAAATGAGAAATGAAAAAGGAGAAGTTACAACAGACACCACAGAAATACAAAGCATCCTAATAGACTACTACAAGCAACTCTATGCCAATAAAATGGACAACCTGGAAGAAATGGACAAATTATTAGAAAGGTATAGCCTTCCAAGACTGAACCAGGAAGAAATAGAAAATACGAACAGACCAATCACAAGGAATGAAATTGAAACTGTGACTGAAAATCTCCAAACAAGCAAAAGTCCAGGACCAGATGGCTTCACAGGGGAATTCTATCAAACATTTAGAGAAGAGCTAACACCCATCCTTCTCAAACTCTTCCAAAAAATTGAGGAGGAAGGAACATTCCCAAACTCATTCTATGAGGCCACCATCACCATGAGACCAAAACCAGACAAAGATACTACTACAAAAAAAGAAAATTACAGACCAATATCACTGATGTAATACAGATGCAAAAATCCTCAACAAAATACTAGCAAACAGAATCCAACAACACATTAAAAGAATCATACACCATGATCAAGTGGGATTTATACCAGGGATGCAAGGACCCTTCAAAATACACAAATCAATCAATGTGATACACCATATTAACAAACTGAAGAATAAAAACCATATGATCATCTCAAGACATGCAGAAAAAGCTTTTGACAATATTCAGCACCAAGTTATGACAAAAACTCTCCAGAAAGTGGGCATACAGGGATCCTACCCCAACATAATAAAGGCCATATATGACAAACCCACAGCAAACATCATTCTCAATGGTGAAAAACTGAAAGCATTTGCTCTAAGATCAGGAACAAGACAAGGATGTTCACTCTCACCACTATTATTCAACATAGTTTTGGAATAGCCACAGCAATCAGAGAAGAAAAAGAAATAAAACAAATACAAATTGGAAAAGAAGAAGTAAAACTGTCACTGTTTACAGATGACATGATACTATACATAGAGAATCCTAATAATGCCACCAGAAAACTACAAGAGCTAATCAATGAATTCGGTAAAGTTGCAGGATACAAAATTAATGCACAGAAATCTCTCGCATTTCTATACACTGATGATGAAAAATCTGAAAGAGAAACTAAGGAAACACTCCCATTTACCATGGCAACAATAATAATTTAAATACCTAGGAATAAACCTACCTAGGGAGACAAAAGACGTGTATGCAGAAAACTATAAGACACTGATGAAAGAAATTAAAGATGATACCAACAGATGGAGAGATATACCATCTTCTTGGATTGGAAGAATCAATACTGTGAACATGACTATACTACCTAAAGCAATCTACAGACTCAATGCAATCCCTATCAAATTACGAATGGCATTTTTTACGGAACTAGAACAAAAAATCTTAAAATTTGTATGGAGACACAGAAGACCCCGAATAGTCAAAGCACTCTTGAGGGCAAAAAACGCAGCTGGAGGAATCACACTCCCTGACTTCAGACTGTACTATAAAGCTACAGTAATCAAGACAATATGGTACTGGCACAAAAACAGAAACATAGATTAATGGAACAAGATAGAAAGCCTACATATAAACCCACACATCTATGGTCAACTAATCTATGACAAAGGAGGCAAGGATATACAATGGAGAAAAGACAGTCTCTTCAATAAGTGGTGCTGGGAAAACTGGACAGCTACATGTAAAAGAATGAAATTGGAACACTTCCTTACACAAAAATAAACTCAAAATGGATTAGAGAGCTAAATGTAAGACTGGACACTATAAAATCTTGGAAGAAAACATAGGAAGAAAACTCGATGACATAAATCACAGCAAGATCTTTTTTGATCCACCTCCTAGTGTAATGGAAATAAAAACAAAAATAAACAAATGGGACTTAATGAACCTTAAAAGCTTTTGCACAGCAAAGGAAACCATAAACAAGACAAAAAGACAACCCTCAGAATGGGACAAAATATTTGCAAACGAATCAATGGACAAAGGATTAATCTCCAAAATATATAAACAGCTCCTGCAGCTCAGTATTAAAAAAACAAACAACCCAATCCAAAAATGGGCACAAGATCTAAATAGACATTTCTCCAAAGAAGACATACAGATGGCCAAGAAGCACATGCAAAGCTGCTCAACATCACTAATTATTAGAGAAATGCAAATCAAAACTACAATGAGGTGTCACCTCACACCAGTTAGAATGGGCATCATCAGAAAATCTACAAACAAAATGCTGGAGAGGGTGTGGAGAAAAGGGAACCCTCTTGCACTGTTGGTGGGAATGTAAATTGATACAGCCACTATGGAGAACAGTATGGAGGTTCCTTAAAAAACTCAAAATAGAATTACCATATAAGCCAGCAATGCCATACTGGGCATATACCCAGAGAAAACCATGATTCAAAAAGACACATGCACCCCAATGTTCATTGCAGCACTATTTACAATAGCCAGGTCATGCAAGCAACCTAAATGCCCATTGACAGACGAATGGATAAAGAAGATGTGGTACATGTATAGAATGGAATATTACTCAGCCATATAAAGGAACAAAATTGGGTCATTTGTTGAGACGTGGATGAATCTAGAGACTGTCATACAGAGTGAAGTAAGTCAGAAAGAGAAAAAGAAATATCATATATTAACGCATATATGTGGAAACTAGAAAAATGGTACAGATGAACCGGTTTGCAGGGCAGAAGTTGAGACACAGATGTAGACAACACACGTATGGACACCAAGGGTGGAAAGCTGCGGGGGGGTGGGGGTGGGGGTGTGATGCATTGGGCAATTGGGGTTGACATGTATACACTGATGTGTATAAAATGGATGACTAATAAGAACCTGCTGTATAAAAAAAATTAAATTAAATTAAAAAATTTAAAAAATAATAATTCAATAGGAGTATACAAATTCCAAGTGTAAAGAGGATATTAAGTAAGAAATAATAGCAATTTTTTAAAAAGTAGTGTAGCTATATCAGTATAAAAGGAAACAAAACAGTAACATGATAGAAACAAAGACAAAAGGAAACTATAGTCACAAGTATAAATGGATTGAATTTACTAGCTAAAAGGCAAATTAGAAAACTTGATCTATAATATCTAGTTATATGTTATTTCCAGGACATATACCTAAAGATAAAAACACATAGATTTTAAGTAAAGAATGCAAAAGGAACTATATCAAATACCAACCAAACAAAAACTAACTGTAACTATGTTAATATAAGAAAAAATAGATGTGTCAAAAGACTCTCTAAGGAATAGACTCACTACATTTAATAAAAGAATCAACTAAAAAAGAGAACATAAATATGTGTGACCTTAGGGGTATATGTTTATACACACATAAGATCTGCATACTATTTCAGGGTATTCACAGAATTCGAAGCCCTTTCATAAGCCCCAAGTTAAGAACTTCTAAACAAATGAAACATTTGTCCCATCATTTCTTTACAGAATCCTAAAAACCTGTTCCAAAACAACTGTACAATTTTACATTAGGCAATGGCTATATCAAATGAAAAGGCTCTAATTAAAATGCATTTTTTAAGAATTTATAAGATATTCCCCATAGTAAGGTCTAAACTTAAAACCTTAGAAAGCATCATATAACAACAAAACCAGTTTTATTTTAATAAACAAATGAGGTATAAGATAAAAATAATGTTATCATTTTAAGCATGATTGCACTTAATAAAAATATATCCTTTTTGTGTCACTGCAAAAGTAACATTATTTTGAGCTGAAACAACTAAAAGAAGCAAGCCTTCTGCAATTTTTCTTGTTTGTCTACAAAGTGAGTGATAAGATGAAGATAATAAACTGGCATCAAAGCAGATTTTTAATTTTCCATAGTTAATTCATTCATTCAGGGTGTAAGACTAATATTTTCCACATTAAAAAAATTAACTTGCTTATGAATTGCTAAAGTACTATAATTAAGAATTTTATTCCACTCTACCAGCATAATCAAACATATTGTATTTATACTTGACTTGGTTATCATTTCAAACATACAGACTGATCCCCTCAAAAGTTATCCAAGTAAGGCCAAAGGATGAATTGTACAAGGAGCTGGTGAAAAATAATCTCTTGCAACTACAAAATATATCCACAAGTTGGTGGCAGAGAACAAAACTGAATGGCTTAACTCATATCTTGGATTTTACACAGGCGCTATAAAAATCTGCTTTCATAGAAATACACTACAATTTAAGTTGATCATACTATACACATGAATTTGAATGATAAAATATTAGTCACCTCTAATAAGAGTTTTCCATACACTTGTCAAGAAGAGTGTGTTCTTACCTATAGTTTGGAAAACTTCATTCATCAAAGCTTCATTCACTGCTGAAGAGCTGACATTTCCAATATGAGACCAACTTTGATAAATTGCTTGCAGCAGAAGTGTCTGTGCTCTTGTAGCTTGAACTGTGAGATTTGGAAGTTCAAATATACCTTCAGTTATAGCAATCTGAGATCTTTTGGTCCTGCATAAGAAAATACAAAGCATAACAAACAATATATTAAATAACATTTATAAACAACACCATATAAAGTAAATTAGGATGCAAGGGAAGAAAAGGTATACACAGAAATTATTTTAATTAGAATTAAATCAAAGAGATACACAATTCTACTAACTTTAAATGTTTCACTATTTCAGAACCTCTAACAATAATAAAAAATAAAAATACAAACTAAAATAATGTCCACATACATTCATACACATATATTCAGCTCAAGCATTACACTTTTTAAATCAAGTCAATCATCAAAAATAACAGTGAAAATAGTACTAATTAACACTTAAAATAGGACTTACTAACAGATCTGCCTTATTCCCTTTTTTAAATTTTTTTATACACTTTTGAAAGGTTAAATTCCAGTTACAATTATTACAAAATATTGGCTATATTCCCCATGCTGCACAATACATCCTTGAACCTATTTTACATCCAACAGTTTGTACCTCCCCCTCTCCCCACTGGTGACCACTACTTTGTTCTCTATATCTGTGAGTCCGCTTCTTTTCTGTTATATTCACAAGTTTGTTGTATTTTTTAGATTCCACATATAAATGATATCATACAGTATTTGTCTTTGTCTGACTTACTTCACTTAGCATAATGTCCTCCAAGTTGATCCATGTTGCTGCAAATGGCAAAATTTCATTCTTTTTTACAGCTGAGTAGTATTCCAGTGTGTGTGTGTGTGTGTGTGTGTGTGTGTGTGTGTGTGTGTGTACGCACATTTTCTTTATCCATTCCTCCGTAGATGGACACTTACATTGTTTCCATATCTTGGTGACTGTAAATAATGCTGCTTATGAACACTGGGGTGCACATATCTTTTCATATTAGTGTTTTTATTTTTTTGGACATATACCCAGGAGTGGAACTGCTGGGTCATATGGTAGTTTTAGCCTTTTGAGAAATCTCCACACTGTTTTCCACAGTGGCTGCACCAATTTACATTTACAAAAACAAGTCTCAATAAAATTAAAAGGACTGAAATCAGAGTATATGTGCTGATCACAATGGAATTAAACTGTAAACTAATAAAAGAAAGGTATCTGCAAAATCCTCAAATATTTAGAAATTAAAAACATAAAATACAATTAAGAACATCGTAGATAAAATTCAGAAAGTCACATAAGATAAAACTTTTGAAAAAGTATAAAATGATTTTAGAAAAGGACACTGATATGGATGACAGAAAATAATCAGTGTTCCTGGAGAAAAGAGCAGATAAAGAAAAAAATTCTACGGGCATTCATTCCAATAAATGTAACATGAAGGAACCAGTCCTTCTCCAGAACTTCCCTTGTTTTATACTATCCTCCCACCTGTCCACTACAGACTAGTAAAAACAATCAGCGTATGTGCACTATTTAACCGTAAGAAGAATATAAAGGAATTTCAAGCAATAGTCCTATACAGTTGAGATACTGACAGAGTCTCATGTCAATTGGTTACCTTTGTATTTTCCAGGTATACTTTTAATTTCAGTCATCTTTCAAGTCAATGGGCTCCTTTTCTAGCCATTGCTACTGCAGCTGAGAACCACCTTGCTAATAAACCTAATGTCCTTCAAAGTTAAGACTGGATTTTTACTTTGCAGTTCCTAGGTCTATAAAAAAATGAGCTATAATGTTGCTGGGACTTTGACTGTTTAGGTCTCAGATTAGGCCTAGCTGGTCTTCAAGCTTCATTTTAAAGCTGTTCTCTAGAAAATCTATAAAATCAGCATATATTTATTAATTGCCTATTCTGTAGCAGTCATGCACTAGCTACCTAGGAAGTATCTTAGCTGTTTTAAAACATCAATGAACAAAACAGAAAATTAAAATCCCAGTGTCCTCATAGTTTATATTCTAATGGGGACAGGAAACAAATTAAAAAGTTGATCAATATAAGTAAACAAATGATATAAGGAAGTTAGAAGAGAAATGCTCTTGGAAACAGAAAAAGAGAATGGAAAAACAGAGCATGGAATAGGAACTACTGAAGAAGGAGCAATTTCATATATGGTGGGTAGATCATATTAAAAGGATAGGTTTAATTCCAAGCAAGACATGAGCAGACTTGAAGGAGGTAAGTGACAGTTGTGTGGATATCTCTGGAGAGTGATTCAGGCAGATGAACAGTCTGTGAAAAGGTCCTGAGGTAGGACTGAACCTGGCAAGTCCAAGCAATGGCAAGGAAGGCAGTGTGGTTGCAGCAGTTTGATAATAACCTAATTCACTAATTAAGTTGGTTTTCCAAGGTTTTTATCCATAAGAATTACCTGAATAGGCTTTACACAGCCATTCATCTGAGACTGCATCGAAGTCTGACTCCATAGGGTTCACTTTCCTTGAATTTACTTTTATTTTTAAATCTCTTTAACCTCATTTTCAAAGTTTTTCATTTAAGGTACTAGAAGTAGGACATGAAATTTTTAAAATATCAATTCCAATTCTGGCGAAATCACTTATTTGTTTCATGTTTTTAGGAAAAAGATATATATAACTTCTCTGAGCTTCACTTCCCTCTTTAAAAGGCAAGTATAATTATCCCTGCCCAATCTACCACAGATGACTATAGTGAAAATCAATTACACCTAATATTTAAAGCTTAACAGATACAAGGTTCTTTGCTAGGAACTGAAGATACAGGCACTATCTTTACACTCAAAGAATTCAGAATCTAGTTGTGAGACAAGTAAACCAGTAATTATAATTTAACATAATGAGTGCTATAACAATGTTATGTACAGATTCCTGTGAGATACACTGAAATGGTTGAGGAAAAAATGCAGGTGTTATATTTAGAAATGACCCATAAACATGAAAAGACTCTTAAGCCTCACCAGTAAAAAGGGAAATTCAAACTAAAACAATGTATGACTCTTTTAACCTCTCAGATTAGCAAGACCTCTCAGACTCTAACTCATCTTCTAGGAATCTATCAGAAAAGAATTTTCACACGAGCCTGCAAGAATACTTACACAAAGACAGTGTTTGCAGCATTATTTAAAATAGCCTAAACCTGAGAAAATCTCATCATTGAATAAATTCTGACACATTGACTTGAGGCAAAACTATTCAGATATTAAAAAGAATGAAGTTAGATGAACCTACTGATATGAAAGGATATGCTGAAATATGGTAAAAATGTATGTAGTTGCATTGTAACATGGTTCCATGTAATGGCAGGAAGTGGTGGGTTACCCACACATAAAAGTATGTCTGCATGTGTTTGTATGTTGAGATAAAAAATTCTGGATAGAATTATTGATAATATTCATTGCTGGAAGATGATAACAGAGGATGACTTTATGTGATCTTTTCCCTTTTTTCCCTATATAAATGTCTCTATTGTTTTGCTTGGTCCTTTGAGATATATATATCATTATTTTTTCAAAAGAATTTAAGAGGGGGCTTCCCTGGTGGCGCAGTGGTTGAGAATCTGCCTGCTAATGCAGGGAACACAGGTTCAAGCCCTGGTCTGGGAGGATCCCACATGCCGCGGAGCAACTAGGCCCATGAGCCCCAACTACTGAGCCTGCGCGTCTGGAGCCTGTGCTCCACAACAAGAGAGGCCGCGATAGTGAGAGGCCCGTGCACCGCGATGAAGAGTGGCCCCCGCTTGCCACAACTAGAGAAAGCCCTCACACAGAAACGAAGACCCAACACAGCAAAAATAAATTAATTAATTAAAAGCTTGAAAAAATTCAAAAAAAAAGAATTTAAGAAACTGCAATACTTCAAGAATGGACTATAGAAATCACAAACTATGTCAAAATGAATTAATTTCATAAAACATTTTTAAAATGTTTTAAAAATGAGCATTATCAATGTAACAAACTACCTCCACTCCCTGCTCCGACACTGAATTATCAAATGATTTCTTACCTTCTCATAGACATAAACTTCACTTTTAAGTCAGACAAAGAAAGACAAATATCATGATATCATTTACATATGGAATCAAAAATATGATACAAATGAACTTATCTACAAGACAGAAATAGACTCACAGAGATAGAAAACAAACTTATGGTTCCCAAAGGGGAAAGGGGGGGATAAATTAGGAATTTAGCATTAACAGATACGCACTACTATATATAAAATAAACAACAAGGACCTATTGTATAGCACAGGGAACTATACTCAACATCTTGTAATAACCTATAATGGAAAAGAATTTGAAAAAGAATATATATATATACACACACACACATATTATACAACTGAATAACTATGCTGAACCACTGTAAATCAACTATACTTCAATTTAAAACATTTTTAAATTAAAACAAAAAGAAAGAAACTTCACTTAAAACCTCCAAAAGAGGAATTGTATCAACGAAGATGGTAGAGTAAGGTATACCAAAAGTCTGTCCCTCCATAAAAGCAACACAAAAGCTGGCAAAAACTGTCAAAAATCAACTTTTTCAGAACTCTAGAAACTAACCAAAAGCCTGCAACAAACACGGGAACACGTAATAAAAATAAAGTAAAATTCTAAAAAAAATTTTAAACAGCTCAATCTCAGTAGGAACAGTGAACTTTGTGGTATTTTTATTTACCCATGTTACATCCCCTGGCCCCCAGGCTCAGCAGTGGTACCAAATAGCCCTTATCCCCAGTATGACCTGTACTTCTTGATAAACTGTCACTTGACATCTCTGTATTCCTAAAAGATATAAATATTTGTAGGATCTCAATGTCAAGTCAGTGGAAGAGCTCTGGTGCTTCTTGGTCTCATATGCATGGTTGAAAAATTAACAGCCATGACTGCCAGATTTATTAACAAATAATAAATTTATGAACTTAAAAAAAGAAATTGTGGTTGTTCGTTCTGACCTGTCTGGTGGCTACCTGGAGGACCAACTCAAAGAACCTGCTTTCTCTCTCCTAATTCAGAACTCTCCCAATACTAAAACAACTACCCAGGAGCATTTGTAGAAAACATTTACAGGCAAATGTACTGCAATAGTCCTT